TCATATGTGCCAGGTACTGTGTTCACAAATTTACATATGCTTTCATTTAATCCCTGTGACAAGCCTGAGACCAATGCTATTCTCAGTCCCTTTTTATAGATGTAGAAAACTAATGGCCAGAGAGCTTAAGTAATTCCTTCTGTTTTTGTCACATTTGCACTGAGACCTTACTCCAGACCATAAGCTCTTTCCTCCAGGATCCTGACTGAGGCTATTAAAAATACCGACAGCCTGGCCAGTATGGCTCAGTTCAGTTGAGCATCTACCCAGAACCAAGAGGTCACTAGTGTGATTCCCGGTCAGGGCATATGCCCAGGTTGCGGGCTCAATCTCCAGTTAGGGGGCATGCAGGAGGCAGCCGATTGATGATGTTTCACTCTCATAGATGTCTCTCTCTCTCTCTCTCTAAAAATCAAAAAGGGGAGAAAATTTTAAAAATAAAACCCCTACATAATCACTCCCCATGTGGTCCCCCCCCCTCCATGGCCCACCTGTTAGCCCTGGGTGGAAGAAGCGTATTCAGGGAGTCAAGATTGTTTTCCAAAGCCCGTTAGTTATATCTGTACAACAGGCATAGCATTAGTTCCCTTTCACATCCCCTACCTGCCCTTTTGCATCACTGTTCTCTGGTTCAAGGGGCACGGTGGAGTTGCATGAGAGAAGTGGAACAAACACTGATGATTGCCTACTGTGTACATGATCTGGTGCTGATAGGTATGATCTCATGCACTCTCAATCATCCTGCGGTTCCAGCATGAGTAAGTGCACAGGTTCTCACAGGCACGGAGGGCTGTAAACTGAGACTTACACTTAAGGCGCAAAGCCAACACGGAGCTGCTCTCCATAGCTGGAGCCGGGTGAGATATCCCTCTTCCCTGGGGCTATGGGTAAGACAGGCTCGGCGCTGCCAAAGCAGGCAGTGCTACAGCTTTTCCCTCAAACTAAATATGATGCAGGGATTCTCTCTGCAACTGTAAAGTTGCAGAGTAGGGAAGACAGACACTCACAAAAGAGAGAATATAAATGGTCAAGGAACATGGGGATAAAAGTGTCGTATCTCACTAAAATGCAAAACTAAAACGTTGTTAAGTCTTTCACTTACTAATTTCCTGCTTTTTAAATCTAATATCCAGCACTGGCAGGGGAGGGTCCTCTCTCACAGAGCTGCTGGGAGTATAAACCACTGCAATAAGGTTACATACACTAAGTTATCATTTATGATATCAGTGAATTCGAAATAACCCAAGGTCCCAATGAAAGATGCGGACAAAAGGGGGTTCTACAGAAAGTAACCTCGCAGGGAAATGGGATTGTAAATTCCCAACCAGGCAGGTCATGGTGGGTAGCCATGTCCCAGGCATATAACTTCTTTAGTACAAGGTTTATTTTTGCCTTAAGCAAGCCCTGTCCATTGTTTCTGTGAATCTAGGTTAACACACCTTTGAAATGCCTCTTTTCAGAGCCTTCCAAAACTCACCCACCCTCATAATCTTGCTGGCTGTCCTATAATCTAATCTCCACCTTGCTTTCTCCCACCTTCATGTAATCCTCCTTAATTCCAAATGCAGGAAAGAAGCTGCAAACTGTCATTTCTTGGAAGCATTTGAGATCTTGGTCAATTTGGCTCAAATAAATTACGATAAAAATGACCTGCAGTCTTGGAACTTTATGTCAACAAAGTAGAAAAATTAGAAAGAAAAAAAAAACAAAGTAGAAAAATTAGAAAGAAAAACAAAGTAGAAAAATTAGATTCAAGATTTGTTATTATGTCAATGACAAGATGTTTTCAATGGCATTGATATGCCATGATATAACATGACGTTAAAGGGCTTTATAAAGCAGAATTTAAAAAGACAAACCACCAAGTATCTGTTTCATCTTTGATGAAAAATATAAGAATGTTGTTTTCCTGGCTAACAGGATTTTAAATGATTTGGATTTCCCCCTCATTAAAGCGTTCTGTTTTCTAAATGTTACGCAATGAACGTATTTCTTTGTAAATAGTTTTGCAAATAATAACATGATGACAGGATAGAAATATACACAAACTATTAAAAAGATATAGTGAAAGAACACGTAAGTTTTCTTCCTGTTTCCATTTCACTGACAATACATGTGTACCCTGAAGCCTGGGAAGAAATATGGATACTTTAAAACATGTAAAATTAGCCGAAACCGGTTTGGCTCAGTGAATAGAGCGTCGGCCTGAGGACTGAAAGGTCCCAGGTTCGATTCCGGTCAAGGGCATGTACCTGGGTTGCGGGCACATCCCCAATGGGGGATGTGCAGGAGGCAGCAGATCGATGTTTCTCTCTTATCGATGTTTCTAACTCTCTCTATCTCTCTCCCTTCCTCTCTGTAAAAAATCAATAAAATATATATTAAAAAAATAAAACATGTAAAATTAAAGGAGGTGGAAGAAACCACCAGTAATTACCATCGTGCAGCCTCCCATAGCCTATCTTCTTCCTAGACCACCTTATCAAATTCCAATAGGAAATCTGCTCTTTTTTCCAATAGATTATGCTTCGATTAGTCAAAATACCTTTCCTCTAATCCAATGGTTCTCGACCTTCTGGCCCTTTAAATACAGTTCCTCATGTTGTGATCCAACCATAAAATTATTTGTGTTGCTACTTCATAACTGTAATGTTGCTACTGTTATGAATCGTAATGTAAGTATCTGATATGCAGGATGGTCTTAGGCGACCCCTGTGAAAGGGTCGTTCGACAGCCCAAGGGGTCGCGACCCACAGGTTGAGAATAACCATTGTTTTAGTTCTTTTTCTGGAGATTTCTTCTGTTCTTTCATTTGGGACATGTTTGTTTCCACATTTTGGCTGCTTCCCTCTGTTTGTTTCTATGTATCAGGTAGAGCTGCTATGCCCCCTGGAATTGGTAGAGTGGCCTGTGGAAGGCCCAGTGGCTCTGCCTCCCCAGTCACCTGAGCTGGTCACTCTAGATGCGCCTCTGTCTGTGTGCCCTGTCCTCTTATAGTTGAGTCCTGATTGCTCTTGGCATCACTGGGAGGGATTTACCTCCAGGCCAATAGGCTGTGAGGACCAGCTGCGACTACAGCAAAGGGGCTGCTGTGCAGGAGACACCCTGATGGAGGACTTGCTTCACTGGGGCTTTGGTGCTCAGAGTCCGGCCCTTGAGAGTATCGCTCTCGGATGTGGTAGGGCTGTAATCTGGCGTGGTCTGAAGCGGACCACCAGGTATCCTAGCTCTGGGGAATGCATGAGGTAAAAGTCAGCTACTGCCTGTGCCTTGCCCAGGGGTACCTAGAATAAGCTACAGAGTGATCTGCAGATAGCTGCTACTTGTGTTGGGCTTGGAGGCACCCAGGAGAGGCCAAGCTGTGAACCCTGGCAGTCTGCTGCTAGTGCCAAAACTGGGGCCACTTATTAAGAGGTATGGGGCACACTGAGGCTAGCTGCTGCTTGTTTGAGAGATTTCAGGAAAGTCTGAAGCCTAAGCTAGGACTGGCCCTTCATATGGAAAAGCTACTGCAAACAGATTAGGTGGCGCTGTAAACTGGGTGGGGCAGGGTCTCAGGGAATCACAAGGGCAGGGCGAACAGTGTGGGCCAAGTTAATGGAGACTCATATGGCTCCTGTTGGCTCTATGGTGGGGAGGTCTCAGCAAAGGAATAACGACTTCTCCCAGCAATTTTGTCTGGGAGAAAACTGCCCCCCAGTTCCTGTACTGATGCCAGACAATTTAGTTCCTCCCTGTATGTACCTGGACCCTTTCAAGCTGCTGCCCCAGTGCTGGAGCTGAGGGAGTGAATCTGAGGAAGTCTGTATATGGGCCCTTTAAGAGGAACTGCCTGGGGATTTTACTAATGGAATCCCTTCGTGTCACTCAGCTACAATTCCCACTGGTTTTTACAGCCTTAAGTTATAGGGACTTCTCTTCCCAGCACTGGAACCCTGAACTGACTCTGCAGCCAAGATATCCTTCCCAATTAAAACCACCACACAGAGGTGTCAAACCAGCCTGTTCCACCTCTCCGCCCCTCCTACCAGTCTCATTGTGGCTTCTTCTTCAATTCTTAGTTGTAAGGCTTCCATTCAACCATCTGAATGATGGTTTTTCTGTAATTTAGCTGTAAATTCTGATTTGGTTATGTGAGGAGGTATGTACCATGTTTATCTACTCCACCATCTTTTCCTTTCAAGAGTGGTCTCTTTTTTCTTTTTTTAATATATTTTTATTTATTTTAGAGAGGAAGGGAGATCAAGAAAGATGGAAACATCAATGATGAGAGAGAATCATTGATCAGCTGCCTCCTGCACACCCCCACTGGGGATTGAGCCCGCAACCCTGGCATGAGCCCTTGACCGGAATCAAACCCAGGACCCCTCAGTCCGCAGGCCAACACTCTATCCACTGAGCCAAACCAGCCAGGGCAAGTGGTTTTCTTTTTTAAACCAACACTTTAGGTAACTTTCTACACATCAAGTCATAATCCTAATCTGGAAAATACTAGCACTGAATATTATGATGTGTGTCATTAGTCTTTACTGAGTGATATCACCTGTCGAGTAAAACGACCTCTATCTTGGACGCTGCTGCCATAATGCAAAGCATGGCCATTTGGGTTCATTCAGTCATTCATTCAATCTCCCACATTACAATACAAGTCTGACGTTGGGTTACAGGCAATTTCAAAAGAACACAATTTTGGAGATGAACTTAAGCCTTCGACATCCTCCAGTGTTGAGTAAGCACTGGGCCTGCTTTACAACATTAACCGCAACACATGCTTCCTTCCTGGAGTTAATCTCATCAGGTGAGCTCTGGGCAGAGAACAGGGCCAAAACCATAGGCAGCCAACAGGGCTCCTGGAGACGGGCTCGCGTGAGAAGCATTTGGTTTTCAAGTGCCTTAGCCTTCACTGAAAACATAAGTATTAAAGCTAATCCTATGTTGATTCAATACAGAAACTACTTTAGAGTGATCCAAGAAGAAAGGAAGACGGGGAATGCTGTTACCGGGAGGGTGAAGAAAGTGGGGTGCTTCGCTTCGTCTTCATATTTGCCTTCCGTTGAACTCCCAGCCTCCATGGACTTGGATGTAGTGTTTTTACCAATACCCATCATTAAGAGAAAGTGGCTGGTTTGGTTGTTGGGCTGCACTGGCTGGAAGAGAAGGCTTGTTCAAGCAGCGATCCCAGGATCGGAGTTGGCTTTTCTGGCGCCTAGAGCACCCGATTCTCAGGCAGAGATGAACCCCACAAGCACCATCTCTTAGCACCTAGAAAAGAGAGAGCAGCCAAATCACCATAAGCACAGCAACAACACAAGACACATGGTCATCGCATTTTTCTCCAGAAAAGTCAAAGTACAAGTTATGCCCAAACATCCAAAAACATATTACTTACTACACTTTCAAGTCCCCACTTCTCTGCATTTACAGTCATTCACTGATTCTCAATATCCCCTGGAGAGGAGACCATATCTCATAAAAAATATCAGAATACTAGGGATTAAGAAATAGGTATTTCTTTGATGTGCATTATGGTCTATGTTTTATAGCCCAGTATTATCCAACAGAACCTTTTGCAATGATGGAAATGTTCTACAGCTGCCTTGTCACTTTCCATAAGAGATGTGACTAGTGTAAAAGAAAAACTGAATTTTTAATTGTATCCCATTTCAGTTTTGATTTAAATAGCCACTTCTGGCTAATGGCAATCATACTACACAGTGCAGTTATAGCCAATTTATTATGACTGCCCGGATATTAACATTCTAAATTCCCTATAGGTGCCCAATTAAAGGCAGGGAAAGGCACACGATGCATAAAAAAAGGTGGGGGATAAAACCAATCTAGGATCGAGTGACCACGCAGAATTCCAGATAAATGGCAAGACGAACTTTAAATGGGCTAGAATACCACACTCAAAAATAGAACCAAAACGTTCACTATCTATTAAATAACAACATATACATAAAGAAAAAATCCAACTGCCTCCCCCCACAATGGAGGGGAGATAAAATAGCAAGAGATTAGGGGACAGGGGGGAGGAGGTAGGAGATCAACACTACTAGGCCCAAGATGGACCTGATGTGCTCTAAGAACCTCAGAGAAGCTGATACTTAACAAGGAAAAGTGCAATGCTGCAGGCTAAGAGAAAACCTAGCCGAAAGTCAAAAGCAGGAAATTACTGAAAGAATCCTATGCAGCCAAATTTTGGTGAAGAAGAAAATAAAAACCTCAATTTCAAACAACAGGAGTATAATTTGAACAATAAAGATCCACCCAATGGCTTCAAAAATGAAAGACACAAAGGATCCCTCCCTTCGAGGGCTGGCACATGTAAAATAAAACATGCCTAGGTATGCCTAAACTGTAATGGGGGGAAAAGTAGCATAAGCAGGCTTCTAGGGGGGTGAGAGCACATTCACTGGCACTCTGATTAGAATGTCAGGTCTTAGCACCAATTAATTTCCCGCTGAGAATGAATAAACCTGGCCAAGCTGTCCAGCAAATGTGGAGACGCACCTATAAGACATTTAGAAATACAAGTAGGAACCCTCCTGTTCAAGGAATTCTGTTAAGGGCACTTTTCATTCAACAGATACTTTGGGTGAGCCAGGAAATTTTGAAATATAAACAAAAAAGAGAAAGATTTATACAGAATTCAAGAGTTAAAACAGTTGCCAGAACATGAAGTTCTGCCCCAATGCAATAGAGGAGCTGGGTGCACACATCTTTTTTTTTTTTCTGGGTGGCTCTTTTGGTTTAAATGTTCATGCACATTTTGCATTCTTGTTCATATCATGTTTGTTTAAAGCAGTGGCTCTCAACCAAGGGTGATTTCTCCCTCCAGGGACATTTGGCAATAGCGAGACATTTTTTTGGTCATCACACCTGGGGGAGAATGATTTGTATCTAACAGGTAGTGGCCAGGGGTGTTGCTAAACATCCTACAGTGCACAGGAAAGAGCCCATAATAAAGAATTATCTGATCCAAACATCAACAGTACCAAGACAGCAACCGTGGTTTAAAGATATTTCCCTCCTGGCCATTCCTGTAATGGCTGCTTCCTGGAAGGCACGTCGACACGTGGAACCTCTTAGCCTAAGCATTCAGAGCTCCAAGAAGGAAGTGTTTTAAGTGTCAGATAGAATTACACACGGATCATTTATTTGAAACCTTCAGTGCTCAAGATCTAGCCACCTCAAGGTACCAACATCATGACCTCAGTTTCTATACTATGGTTCTTAGTCCTCAGTCCACTGCGTTTGGTGCTGTCTGTTGTTGAAGTAGAAGCCGGAGATGCAATCGCTCATTAGGTCTGGTTGTCAGCCTCACAGGCATTTGTGCCTGTTTGGGGGCACATGCACAAAAGGAAACGGACAGGTGTGACACTGACGGGCCTCCTGAATTAAACCTTGCCCTGAAAGCATTTGTGCTATTGAGGTTAAAAACTGAGCTTTTGGTGTCTGAAAGTTCCCAAGAATCAGTAACTAGGGTACTGAAACATTTGTAGTTGTTTCACTATAAATGGGAATAAACTGATGTATTAAATGACTTTTTTTTTTCACAACAGATAATGTACTGAATATGTAGAATATAATTTATATCTGCTAGTCAGAAAGAGGGTTAAAGAAATTTGCATAAATAATATTGCATAGCATCAAAATTCACAAAGCACATGAAATTGGAAGAAGGAAGCTCCTGCCCAGAACCCTAGGAGGTCACCACTGTTCAGTTGTAGTCACTTGCCTTCTACATCGGCGATGAATCTTTTCTCCATATTTCTATTAGATTTTTGTTTTGTTATCCCCAAAGTTCATACTATACTTAGATATGAAATACAACCCATCAAAACTTTAATTTATTTGAGGAAGAGAGGGAAGGTTTTAAAAAATATGTTCAATGTACCTAATATTGAAATGGAGAAAAGATTTAATATAAGAGCAGGTTTCTGTGGATGACCTGCTGCTCTCCCATAATGCTGGAATTATCGGAATAAATGCTCATATGATTTAAAAATAATAAGATTTAAAATACTTTAATATAAAAAAAATACTTTGTGTTGACACTGAAATGGAGAAGAGGTTTAATGTTTTAAAAAGCCCTATTAACTGAGTAACACCCCCACAGAGAGAAATACTATATTAAATATAAACCTATTATGTTGTATATATGTATTTTTAAAAAGGTACTTCCCTCTTCCCAAAAATGGCATCCCAAAAGTGCCATGTGGGTCCTTAGCACAAGATCACGTCCCCCAAGGGAGACACGTGCCAGTTTGAGAAGCAGAGACATGCCTATCACCAAATAGAGCAAAGCCCATAATAGAATGAGTCTATGGGACTTGCTGTGGTTTAGTGACTTTTTAAATAACTTTCCTTTTTCAAGAACAGGGACAAGTGGATTATTATATTTCTTCTTCATCTTTTCTGCTATTTGTAGGGGATATGAAGACCCACTTATGCACTTTCCAAAGCATAAAAGTGGGGACTTCCTATGTTCAAAGGGGAAGTCACAAACATCACTTAGAAAACCCTAAAGGCTCTACTGGGAGCCCTGACAGATATTGTGTGTGTTTACTTAGAATTAATCTTTTTCCTACATTTTTAATTAAAGTGTTCTGCAACAATTCAAAAAATAATAATCTACATCTTGATCTAGCCACTGCCACCCATAACCTCCCCAGATCTGGCAGGGGGGTGGGGTAAGAGGGGTAGAGATATAACATGACAATGAACATTCCTAAGATCTGCCTGAAGTAGTCCCAGGGATCTTTACCTTGACAGCCAGTAGCTTGTTTTCCAAAAGATATGACAGGTAAAGAAGATGGTGAAATACTGCTAGATTTTCACAAGACCACATGCCATACAGTCATATTCAGAGACACCCACAGGCTCTTTGCTCCACAATCCCGCCCCATCGTCTTTAGCCTGCCAGAAGAGCTTTCCAATCCATGAGGACCCATGTTAACTTCAGGGGAAATGATGAACTTTTTTTATAAAACTGATTTGAGAGAGGAAGGGAAAGACAGAAACATCAACCTGTTGTTCCACTTATTTATGCATTCACTGGTTGTGTCTTATATGTGCCCTGACGAGGGATCGAACCCGCAACCTTGGTGTATCGGAACGACACTCTAACCAACTGAGCTACCTGCCCAGGGCAAAAGGATGGACTTTTTAATGTAGAATACATTTACTCTCCCAGGTTAATTTGGTCTGCATGTTTGTTTCAGACATGACCATTCACCCTCCACACTGTCCCCAGCATCAGGCACAAGGGGGACAAGTTCCATCCTGACAAGAACACTTTCCACCAAGTAGTCTGTACATTTTTCCCTACCAGGCGTTAACTGACTCTACAAGCTGTACTGGGAGGACCCACCCCGTCCTTTTGCCTGTCTCTTACACAGCAACATCCTTTAGATCAGTGGTTCTCAACCTTCCTAATGCCGCGACCCTTTAATACAGTTCCTCATGTTGTGGTGACCCCCAACCATAAAATTATTTTCACTGCTACTTCATAACTGTAATTTTGCTACTGTTATGAATCGTAATGTAAATATCTGATATGCAGGATGTAATTCCATTGTTACAAATTGAACATAATTAAAGCATAGTGATTAATCACAAAAACAATATGTAATTATATATGTGTTTTCCGATGGTCTTAGGCGACCCCTGTGAAAGGGTCGTTCGACCCCCAAAGGGGTCGCGACTCACAAGTTGAGAACCGCTGCTTTAGAGTGTCCTGAAAACTCAAATGAGCACAAGAGGGGAGGGGACCCAAGAAAGCGCAGGGCAGGATGTTCTGAGAAGGGCTTGGGGCAGAGGACTGCACAGCCTGGGCAAGATGGGCTTCCTAGTCGGGCAAGTGGAAGGAAGAAGAGGAGAGGACAGTGAAAACTGAACAAAGAACCGGATCCTTGGAAGTCCCAAAATGACAGCATCCACAGCCCAGCACTAGGAGTGATGAAGTAAAGACAGCCTCGAGGGCAGAAACAGCCCACTAACCAGATCAGAATGTTCCAACCTGCAGACTGAACTTTTGTGTGGGGAAATGCTAAGGCTCAGAGGCAAGCACAGCAAAAGATAAGGAAGGGGAGAGTGGAATTTAGGGTGTGTTAAAATTTTTGTGAAAACAAAAGGCAAAATCCCCCAGGGAATCTGACACTGGGGGCTAACCACTCACAGTCCCCCATCACCCCTCTTCTTACTCCTTGGGAAAGAAAAATCAACAAGGCCATTTGCTACTTTGGCCCTAACCTCAA